AAGTAACCGAGAGGGTGGGCGGCGGGGCTGCAGAGCGCTGGGGGCCGGGGGCTCGCTCTTTGGAGGGGTGGCTTATTTTAAGTGCTTATTTCTTCATCTGTTTTATTCAGTTTCTTCAGCGTGTCCAGCAGTTTCTGTGGGGTGAGAATCTGCGTGGATCCTGGGGGAGGTAGAGAAGACAGTGAGCTTGCGGGCTCCGGCTCCGGCTCGGAACAGTTTCTCCTTCCCTGCTCCTGGAGACCCCCAGACCTGCGCACCTCCCCCGCCCCCACCCTGGTCGTGGTCGGTGGAAGCAGGGAGAGGGCTGGGGGCTGGGGGCTGGGGCCATGTCACCATACGCCTGGGAGACGTTTGGGGACCGTGGATAAACAAAACACATCCTCTGGCTCAGGCAGGGTCCCAGGCTGCACCGAGGAAGGAGCAGGCCTCTCCCTCAGGGCTCAGCGCCATCTGCCAGGGGACGGGGCAGCTGCATTTTGAACTCAAGGTGGAGCAGGGAGAGGGATTCCAAGCCACATGGCAGGGGAGAGGCTGGGCGGGGCAGGGGTGAGAAGGGCCAGTGTGTGGAAAGAATGGTGCCTGGTAGGGAGGCAGCTGATGGGCAGAACACCCTGGGGGAAGCCACTGACCTCTGGGAGCCAGGTGGTGGCACTGCCGTGGCGGGTGGGACCTCAGGTGTGAAAGGGAGAGGGCCGGGGTACCTGAGGCCTTACCTTGCAGAGACCGCGCATTGTAAGAGACTAGAAATGCTTGCAAAAATTTAAGCTAATGGAATTAAGTATACTTCTGCAAAAAAATAAAAATAAAAATAATAAAATAAATAAATGAAGTCCTTTTTCATAAGGAGAGAGAAATCTAGTTAAGTGCAGTAAAAAAAGATGCATGGACCGTGTGGTTTGGATATGGAGATACTCAAACAGAACGGCAGTGACGTGTGTGAGCATGAGGCCTGCACGCATGCAGCAGTGGCCTTCAAAGAAAGGTCCTGGTGGGAGAGAGCGGAACAAAAGAGACCCGTACTTGAAAATGTGCCTCCCTGGAGATGCAGGCAAGGGAATGGCCTTCATGGGACAGGGGAACAGAAACCTCAGGAGGCCAGGTTTCCACCTCGAGGGCAGGCAAAGAAGGCTCCGGCTGGCCTGCTGGGTGTGATTCCACATGCCAGGGCCCCTATGCCTTTAACCACTACTTGCTTAGCTGACCCGTGACTGCTGGGACTGCAGGCCTTGGGCCTTCCTGGTCAGTCCAAACCAGCAGAAAACTTGTAAAGCCTTCCCTAGTGTGAGGGGTCCTTCCAAGATCCCATTCCCTGCAGTTCCAGTCCCAGCGGCCTGTCACTGCTCTGAGTGCCAGTGCAGCAGGCCCCGAGCCCTAAAGCTGACCCATGATTCTGCACACCCGAGGCTCCTGCAAATGACACACGGGTTTCAGCAGTGCGTCCCTGGGCGTTATTCCCCCAAAGTACACTCATTCTGTGGCCTTACCAATCTTCCTACAAGTCCTAAAGGAAGTCGAAGGCTGTCTACAAATGGGGAAGCAGGACATAAATGCTACCAGATTCTTGACAGTGAACCACTGTGAGAGTGAGGGCCTCTCAATCTCAATCGACACGGTCTGCGTGTCTACACCCTGAAAGACAGCACTGGGTTCTGGGTGCAGGGTGTGCTCAGGGTCCTCCCAGGGTGGGGCAGCAGTGCACATGCCAGAGACAACCGTCCCTAACGCCCCTCCCTGGCCATCCACTGGTCCCGGCAAACAAGGCCGGCTCGAGTGAGAGGAGCAATCAAGAGTGGCCTCTGATCAGGTGCCCACCCCAAAGTGCTCCCCTACTCTTGCTGACTTGCAAGTTCAGGATTTGGGGGAGGCCAAAAAGAGGGTAAGGAGTCCATGCTCTAGAATTTTCTGATATTGTCTGATCCACCTGGTGTTCTCAGTCTTTGAAAGAAGAAAACCCAGGACCAAGAGCACTGGACAAACAGTGCAGCCTCCAGGACTCTGTGCCAGGCCTGTTCCTGGGTGCTGTCTCGCCTGGTCTCTAAAGGACCCAGAGCCGCTGGTGTTAATCTGAATCACCTGAGAGCCAATTCTTGACACCTAATCACCTATTGTTTTAATACCTTGGTCAGGCTTTCCACCACCATAAATACTGCTAATAGAGTGGGGTAAGTTTAAAGCACATTTTGCAAATGTTCTCTTTTTAAAAAAATTTTTTAAATTGATTTTAGAGCGACAGGGAGAGGGATAGAGAGATAGAAACATTGATTGGCTGCCTCCTGCACTCCCCCCACTGGGGATCGAGCCCGCAACCTGGGCATGTACCCTGACTGGGAATTGAACTTGTGACCTCTTGGTTCATGGGTCAATGCTCGACCACTGAGCCCCACCAGCAGGGCACAAATGTTCTCATTTTTAACCCACAGGCAGCTGGCCACGTAGGCCCTCTAGAACAGTAAGCGGGTTCCACTGCTCTGAGGGTCCCTCTTACTCTACATTGACAAATGTGAACGGTGGTCTCCAAGAACAAAGTCATCCCAGTGACAATGCTGTGGGCCAGACACAGCGAGGTCTACTGGGACAAAGCCCTTCTTTCTTCAATGGCAGGTTTAGGAAACAGTGCTATGGCCCTCCCTGCATCTAGACGGGAGAGTGAAGCCCAGAAGCCATGCCACTGGTCTCAATCCTGGGCACCCTGTGACCTCCTGGCCCTGGGAGGGGAGGGACAAGTGAGTGCTTAAATGGCAGCTGGGCAATGGGTGGGCTCTGAATCCAGATTGAAACCTCAGTCCCACTGAAAAAGGAAACTTGTCTGACCTCAATCTGGATTAAAGCAAAACATTCAATATAAAAAACCAAAAACTTCCTCCCAAGTGTACGTGCCGTCTAATGGGCCTCATCCAGCCTTCCAGTCCTCTCTCATTGGCTTCTGACAGCCTCTGGAAATCCCCAATGGTCAGGACTTTCAAAAACCACCCAGAGTGTAGAGGTGAAGATCTAATCAACAGATTTCATTTCTTAGATGATCTTAAGAGATGAGTGACCAGAGGGGATTAAGATGAGGCTTGGTGGTATCTGCCCTACAGTCACCATACCTGCTCCCTTGAACGCAGACTGGGGAGCTGGCCTCAGCTCCAGGAGAAAAAGCCTCGCACTGGGACCCATGCACGAGGCCTGTTGGGGACACTTGTTGACTGCTGAGCGGGAAAACTCACCAGCTCTTAAAAGCTACATTCCTGCAAATACCAAACTGGGGAGGAGACGGCCCCTGCTCTCTAGTGCTCTGCACAGTCCTAGCCTTTGGTCATCTGGAAATCATGACAGAAGAGGCAAATCAGCTTTTAATCTCCTTTCTGACCTCCCTGGTGTTAGGCTTGGGCCTCGCTTTTCCCTGACTCTCCAAAATCCAACAAAGCATTTCAGAGCCACAAACGTACAACCAGTCTGTGCTCCCTTTGCTCTGATGGCAGCTTAGACCCTCTCTGCTGGTCAAACCTAAGACAAGGGAAACCAGTCAGGGAAGGAGAGGCTCCTTCTGAAACAGGGAACCCATAGTGAGTCCTCGCAGGAGCCCCGGGACCTGCGCTTATGATTCTTTCAGACCCTGCAAGGGGTCTGCCACTGCTGCAGTCTCAACGTCTGCTTTCTCGGAGTCTTAAAATACATATTGCAGCCTGACCGGTTAGAGCACCATCCTGATATGCCAAGGTTGCTCTGGTCGGGGCGCGCACAAGAATCAACCAACAAATGCATAAATAAGTGGAGCAACAAAAATTTGTTTCTCTCTCTCAAAGTCAATAAATAATGCCACCTATCCACCTCCCACCTGCGCATAGTACTGGATATCTCTGATCACCAAGCTACCAGGCGCGTCTACATAATGACTGTTGATTCACTGCCCCCAGGCTTGGCTTTCATTGGGAAGCAGCCTGGGAGAATGGGAGGCACCCGGGGCCATAGCCAGCCCCAGAGTCACTGGGGCACATAGCCTGGCTCACAGCCACTTGCTATTTCTCACCTCACTAATGCCCTGGCAGGAAATAAAGGAGATAAAAGGTCTGACCTTTAGAGCAAGTCCTTTGGGGATGAGCACACTCCCCTCACATGAATAAGCACCTTCCAAGGTTTCCTGGCTAAGGTGCTGAGGGGCCATCCTTGAGGGCTGCGTGGTTTGAGTCGCCAATCTGAATTACTGAATTAATAACAGAGCTCGGAGGAGCCTTGGAACCTACGATCCAGCCTCCCTGTGTTCCGAGCACCGTGGCCCAGTCCATGGAAATGACTCACATTCAGAGGTGACTCGCGTTCTGAGGCTCGCGGGACCCAGGGAAGGGCATTTTTAGGGTCCACTGTCAACGGACTATATGAAGTCCGGCGCACAAACTGGCCTCAGCAGAGTGGGCAGCGGAGCTAAGGCCTGGCGCGCTACAGCGCCGCCCATGCCAGTCTGCCCGCAGGCGCCCCCGAGGGCGCGCCCGGCACACGCGGAGGACGGCAGGAGGGGAGGGAATGAGAACAGGAGTAAAACCCGGGCCATCTGCCCGACAGACAGCGGTTCCTGGGCAACGGAGAAGGCCCAGTGCGGCGGGAGGGAGGAGCGGGTTTCTGCCTAAAGGCTCCCAGGCCGGACCGAGAGGCCCCAGCGGGAGAGGAGGCTGAGATTACTCAGCTCCTGAAAGGCTCACGGGAGATTTAAGATAAAAACAAGCACTGAAAGAGCAAATGACCCACAGTGCCGGTTCCCCAGAGGAACATGACACACGAGCTCTCCCCGTGGGTGGCTGGAGCTCACCAAGCGCGCGGTGCCTTGTGAACCCATCACCGCTTAGAAACTGCTCCTCGGGACAAGCGGCTGTCCCAGGAAAGTGGGGTTTACATGTCCAACTACCACTGACTTGGAGCCTGTTCTGATGCTCTCCGCAGAGCCTCCCCCGCGACGGGGTGCCCGGGGCGGCCGCGCTGAGTCCTGCCTTCCCGACACGGCCGGCCTCGCTCTCAAGCTCCCGCACCGCGTCCCAGCCAGGACACCGTGTGCTCCCTTCCTGTGCCCACAGCTCGTCCCTGAGCCAGCAGGCTCGGGCGCCGCACCTCTGGCATCCCTCCACTTCCAGCCCCTCGGGAAGCAGCCTGGGCAGAATGGGAGGGCTGCTCGGAGCATCATTCTCACTGTTTAAAACCCTGGGGGCTGCAGCTGCTGGACTGAGCAGCAGGAAACCCTGAGGCCTGGGCGAGCCTGAGGCCTGGGCCTGCCACGCGGCGGGGACGTGAGGGCCGCATCGGACACATTTTCAATCGGTGTGAACTGCAAGCATTTTCTTGTTAAAGGAAATCAAACAAACAAACTCAAAAGGGAGAAAGAAAAAGAGTGACGGAATAATCAAAGAAAACCCTTCGGAGCGGAAGAGTTTCTTTTCTGTAATAAGCTGCTTTTACTTTGTTTCTTTGGCTCTCACTCCATTGTTGGAGCCTGATCCTCAAAAGATACCCTAGAGGACTCCCTGAAGTCGGGGTGTCTCAGGTCCATGAGAAATTTGGTGGGAGTAAGAATATGAGTAGAACCTGCGGGAGAACAGAGGCCAGCTGACTGCTTGAACAAAGGTACGTCACAGGAACATGCCAACTTAGGCCTACGTGTTAGCAGCCAGTGAGGTATGAGGAAGCGTGGGGCCCGCGCACACATGCACACGCACCGAGGGGGCCGCATGCACGGAGCAGGGGGGCCACGCGCAGGCGGGCGGGCGGAGCCAGGCCCCTCGGGGAATCTGTGGGCCACCTTACCTGCCTCGGCCACCCCCTCCCAACGGGGCCCCTCCCAGCAGGTCAGGGCCGAAGCTGAAGGTGGGGATTTACCCCCAGGCCCAGCTCTGACAGCCTCTGCCCGGGAAAGCTGTGTCTGAGCTAAGAATTATCCAACACACACATGCAGCAGTTACGCGAGCAGGGAACAGAGCTTCGTCACGGGGGCCACATGACAAAAGGGAAGACAGGGAGACACAGGGAGAATGGCGACCAGACCGGGGAAACTTCAGGGAGCGGGGAAGGGAGGGAGGATGTCTAATCTGCCCCTGAATGGTGGCATCCAGAAGGCTGCTGGCAGGGCCAGGCCACCTGGACACGCCAGGAGCGAGCCCATGGGCTGGTGTGTAGCACCTGCGCCCCCTGAGAGCCGGGGGCACTGTGACTTCTCACTCCGAGGAGGGGCAGAAAACTGACGTGTCTTATGGAGCTAAGGAGAGAGGACATGGCCTGGCCAGGGCTCTACGTGCTGACAGCCTCTTGCCAATTACTGTCAGGAGGCACCGGGCAAGCGCCGCTATAGCCCATCTTTCCCGTAACAAAACGGAGGAGCAAACATCCGGAGAAAGCAGGGTTTTCCTCGGGCCCCTTTCTCTCCCAGCCCTAGGAGTTGGGGGCGCTCCTGCACGCATGGAAAGGAGCTCCCAGGAACCCCCGTACTCCACTGAGTCAGCCCTTGGGTGGCTCCCTTTCCTCTGGAAAACCATCGGGAAATCCCAGAAAGCATGGGGCTGACCAGAAAGTAGTGGGGCCGGGCCGGGGGGACCCCTAGCAGAGTCCAGCGGGTCGGGCTGATGTTTCGGCAGCATCCGCTCGCACGCGAGTCTGTCCACCTCCAACCGAGAGGTAAGGGGGGTCAGGGTTTGCCTTCCCGAGCACCGCGGGCACGAGGCCCAGGGCAGCACACGGAGGAGCCCCACTGCAGGCGTCGTTTGAGGCTCTAGGGGGCGCCCTGAACCCCATTTGGTTGGGTAAGGAGACGGCAGCCTGGAGAGGTGGGGCATGTGGCCCAGGTGACCCACGGGGCAGTGGCAGAGCGGAAAGCGGGCCTGGCCATGAGCCTGCCCCGGCCCTTCCCACCGCATGCAGCCGCCTCCCGTCGAGGCGGTGCAGGCGCGAGGAAGGCGCCCTCGCCCCTCAGCTCTGCCCTCCACGAACAGGCCTAGAGACGGCGCCCGGCAGGGGCGGTGGAGAGTCCAGGACAGAATGAAACACCGAAGCATGGAATGGAGCCGGAGTGCGGAGAAGCAGCCCCCTCCCTCCAGAGAGTGGGCGCACTCACCTATCAGCACCTCCCACTTGCCGTTGGCCTGCGTCACCTCATAGGCGCAGCGCATCTCGCTCAGGCTCACGCCGCCCAGGATGAAAATGATGAGGCGGGGGCCGCTGCGGTACTCGCCCGGGGCCTTGTTCTTATGCCAGTGCCCGTAGCGGGCGCTGGGGGGGAGAGAGAGATTAATGACGCTCACCTGCACTCCGCATCCCCGCGACTCGCTACACGTTCGTCTACACAGCGGGCAGAGTAGATGCGCAGTGAGTGTGAATGAACCGCAGCGGCTGCCCCGAGCGCTGTGTCCCCTGCTGTGACCTGTCAGTCTCTCGGAACCGCGTGGGCAGCCAAGGCTCAGGCTGGCCTTACAGTTCGACGGGTTAAGCTCCGCAGCTCCGCCGGGCATGTGCACTCAGGAGTCTACCCCTGGCTGCACGTTTCTAGGCTTGTCCAGGACACTCTGCTGGCAGCGAGCAGGGATGACAGAGTCGAAGGCCTGGCTTCAGTGCACGAACCTGCACCGGGTGCCCCCGGGGCCGGGGCTGCCCCACACGGAGAGGAAGAGCTTCCAGAAACAGACCTTGCAGGCGCCATGGGCGACCAAGAGCACAGAGTGGAGAACCGGGGACAGATCGCTGTCTACTCTCATCTCGAAACTGACAAATGTCTGAGCGTCACCAGGCACATGGCAGAAACCCAGTAAACACAAGGCATCCACTTTGCCGTCAAGAATGGATCTGAGGCCCGGCCAACGAGGCTCAGCAGTTGAGCATCGACCTGGGATCCAGGAGATCGCAGTTCGATTCCCGGTCAGGGCACATGCCCGGGTTGTGGGCTCGATCCCCAGTCAGGGGCATGCAGGAGGCAGCCGATCAATGATTCTCTCATCACTGATTGTTTCTACCTCTCTCTCCCCCTTCCTCTCTCTGAAATCAATAAAGGTATATTTTAAAAAATAAATAAATACTTCTGGGAGCACTGATGTACTGTAATTATACACAGGGTGTCTGGGGAAGGTCGGAAAGGGAAATACTTGATTCAAGACCTAAAGGAGATAAGAGGGGAGCCATGCAGCTATTTCCTGGGACACACCATTTCAGGCAGACAGGAAAGCAAGTGCAAAGGTCCTGAAGCAGAAGCAAGCCTGGCAGTTCAAGAAAGAGCAAGGAGGCTGGCTGCCTGAAGTGGAGCGACAGAAGGGAGGGGTGAGGGATGAGTCGCAGAGAACAGAAGCCAGAGGGCGAGGGCCTCACAGGCCAGTGCTGTGGACTGGCCCGCACCTGGCCGTGACGAGCACAGCGCCGGGCTCTCACGGGTCACAACAGGACCGTGTGTGGCTGACCTCCAGCCAGAGCCAGGCCCACTTACTGCCCCCACCTGCTCAGGTTCTCACCTGACAGCGGTGGTGCTGAAGGAGGCAGAGGAGCGGGTGGAGATATACGGGTAGTGCTTGGTATCGAGTTTGTCCTCAATGGTGTCCTGGAAAGAAAAGAGACCGACGTTAGGGCTGCCACTTGAAAAGGAAAAGGGCTGAGGGAGGCCAGGTCGGACAGTTCCAACAAGTCAGTCAGCGAACACCATGGCCGGATTTGCAACAACCAGACCCCCCCNCCCCCCCCGCGGCCCGGGGCAGTGCCCGGTGTGGCCACGGTGCGGCCACGGTGCGCCGGAACCACGAGATTAGTCTGTAGGTCTGCTCTTTAGAGAAGTTTAAAAAATTGCATTGATTTTTCCTGCTTCCCTTCCAATCAATTCCTTTTTTCTCCCTCTTTTACATTCCACGTGAGACTGTGCCGTATTCTGTCTAATAAACTCCTGACACTAACCATCAGCGTTGAAGAACCCAGGCAGGGGCGGTCTCTCAGGCAGGAAAAGCCTTCCTCCCCGTTTTCCAAGGGGCTAATTATCTGGTGGGTGGATTCCAGCTCCGCACCTCCCGCTGCCTAGAAGTCGACACTCCCCCTAACAGCTACCCTGCGAAGCCTACGCACGTCTCCTTGGGGGACTGGGAAGGAGGGGCAGGAAAAGCGAGCCGGGAACAAAGGAGGGAATGAGACAGGGGCTGGCTTGTCTACTGCGGCAAGCACAGAAACGTAACTGGTTTCTAGATGGCTCGTGTTCACCCATCCTTTTGGTTTGTAAGTTTTAAAAATAGGAAGCTGACTCACTGTATATGATTAAAATGTATTTATTTTAACGTACAACTCAGGAGGAACACCTGGTCTGCTATGAATTAACAAAGGGATCCTGAGCAAGTCTCTTCATATCTCCAATCCTGCCCCAGGGGTCTAGGGGGTGGGATTCCATGCAGGGCTTCCCTGATCTACAAGAAGAGATGAGAGGGACAGGACGCCTTACAAATATGAAACACCTACTATGCACAAAGCACGGGGCCAGGGGGCGTGTCAGTTGAGGGCACAGGACCGAGGTATAAAAAGATGACCCCAACACCAAGCGCATGCATATGCAAAGAGCCTCCCTGCCCTGGGCTACAGGAGCCCAGGGGAGGCCTCCGTCGGGCGTGTGTCAGGCTGGGGGTGTCAGGCTGGGTGTCAGGCTGCGGGTGGTGTGTGGAACAGTGAGACCCGATGGGGACTCTGGCGGAGGCAGGATTCAGGAAGTGGGAAGGGGAGCGAGAACATTCCAGAGGAGGGATGGGTTTGAACGGAGGCAGAAATATGCTTGGCAGGGTCTCTGGTTGGCGCGGGGAGCCGAGTGGGAGACGGGGGCAGGCTGGGGTCACATTCCGGAGGCCCTTTCGCACACGCAGAGGTGTCCGCGTGGCACGCCCACGCCTCGGCGTGGAACTCGCTACTCATCGGAAGTCCCGATGCTGCTGACGTTTGGTTCCTCTGGGTGTAGTGCCACCGAGGGGTCTCTAACGGGGGCCGGATCACAGGATCTCGGGGATCGGCCCCTGGCAGTCTCCTGGGACTGCTCTTCGCAAGCCCGCGGGTCAAGACCAGCTGTGAGGCCTGAGAGCTCTGGAGACCTGGATGCAAGTCCTTCGGTGTCACCACCACCCGATAGCCGGTGAGGCTGGGGGCATCTGGGCCTTCAAGCGAAGAGCCCTGGGCCCTGTCGCTCTCCACCCCCGCCCACCCCGGTCACTGACCTCCATGATGTCTTTAATAACGGGGGTCCACCGGGAGAGCTGGTAGGTCTGCTCGCTGATGCGCTCCTTGCGCTCCGGCTTGCTCCTGCGGCGCAGCGTGGACTGAACGCAAACACACGGGTCGGACTGAGTCAGGGCCGCCTGGCCGGCCCCTGGGAGCTCTCCCCAGGGACTCCCTTCAGAGAGGCCGCCTGGGCACAGACCAATGAGTGGGGGCGTTTTCCCCGGAAAAGCCAAAAAGGTGCCCCTTTTAGGAACCTGGAGCAAACTTGGTTCTTTTTTTTTTTTTTAAATCTTCTTTAAAAAAGTATTTTTAATTGATCTTTAGAGAGAGGATGATAGAGGGAGAGAGGGAGAAACAGTGATGTGAGAGCGAGCGCCCAGGGAGCGAGCCTGCAACCCGGGCATATGCCCGACTGGAAATCGAACAGGCAGCCTTTTGGTGCTTGGGACGTAGCCCAAGCTACTGAGCCACACTGGCCAGGGCCAAACTTGGTTCTTTAAAGCCACGAGAAGTGGCAAATGTGGGTCAAATAAAAAAACAACAACCCCGGAAGTTAAAACAATAGTTTGCTATCAATTGGTTACAGGGGAAAACAGTGCTCTGGGTGTGACTTATTCCTGGATTTTGCTTCCACAGCACAGGACGTACTGAAGGAATCACCTCCATTCTCACTCGGTCCCTCTTGTGAACAGGGGTCTGAACATGCCAGGTACAGGTCTCTGGCCTGGTGGCTCTGGAACGAAGTTTTTGGCTCTAAGATGCCAAAAGGAGGGAGGGGATCTGCAGCTCCGGCGTGATCAGCGCTGCAGTGTGAGCTGACCGCCTACAGGAAGCAGCGCAGCGGGGTCCCTGCCCGCGGGGCTCCTGCGGGTGCTCTGAAGGGCGCTCAGGCCGCTTCCTCACCCGAGCCCGTCCCACCGCGTGGCCGGGCCGCCCAGGCAGGCTGCCCTGACTTGGTGCTGAACCAGCCCCGGCACAGACGGCTAAAGCGGCAAAACTGCGGAGGCCACGTGGACTGTGCAGGAGCAGCCGCGCCTGGGCGCCCAGGGGCAGAGCCCGACCAGCCTGAGGAAGCTGGTGCGACTCCTGGGGGGCCGCTTCACGCACAGCTCGGCTCCGTGTCTAGTGCTCAGGGCCTGCCCGTCTGCCTTTCTCAGCATGGAGCGCGTCTGACAGGCCTCCTCACGCACGGGGGCGAGGGGGAAGGGCCCCCCGGCTTCCCTCTGCCTCCCTGTGCCACAGGCGGGCGGCCGCTTACGTCCGTGACGATGGGCACGCCCAGGTGCGCCATGTTGGTGATGATCTCGCTGTCCTCGGGGGGGATCTGCGCGTGCTGGATCAGCTTGTTCAGGTTTTCCTCAGTGATGCCTGAGAGGGAGGGAGACCGGGTCACCACGGCCACCGCTGCCCGGCGCACACGCAGGGCCCCTCCTCAGCATCGGGGGTTCCCCTGCTCCACGCGTCAGCTCCACCGTGAGATGACCGGGACTCCACCCCTCCCTCCCCGGCTGTGACATCAGCAACCGCCCCCGTGGTCTGTCCCCCTCGGTCTCCTGCTCCCACGGGTACTCTGGGCCCCAGCAAAGGCAACGTGGACAAGAAGCCTCTGTGCCCAGCGTGTTGCACAAGGGACACTTACGGGCACTATGATGCGGGTAAGAATCAGTTATTTAAAGGCCCAGATTACCAGCGCCACGCAAGTTCAAAGTCTCTGGCAGCCGGGCCCTAACGGAGGGGCCATGAAGCTCTCCTTGCTCCCCCGCCCTGCCCTCGGCTCCACGCCCCATCCCACTGGTTGACCCTGAACCACTGGGGGACACAGGCCCCCGTGGAAACGGATTTGCCCCCATGACATCTCCCCGGACGTCAGAGCCCCTAGGATCTTGTTCAAGCCCTTTCCTGTCCGACACAGCTGTCCCGCCGCGCTTGCTCCCC